GCACCAGCATCTCTTTTCTAAGTTTGGCCATCTCTTTGTCCTTTCAATTTCAGTTCTTAAACTCATCAATCAATCCTTTCATTTATATAATAGGCCTGCATTTAAAATAAATATTTACCATAAATTAAATGTATCTTATATTATTATATATGTTATTATAAAACATGCTTTAGTTAAGGAGTTATTGATACTTCAAATGCAAAATAATAATATAAAACCTTGATAAAAATACACTTTTAAGTACTAATCAATGTCATTCCATTCTAATTCAATTGTTTGACATTACTGTGAACTATCTTTTCCCTAAAGAGAAGCCCCACCTAAGACCCCTCATCATGCTTTTTTAATCAATTATGACAAGCAACATGCTAGACCCTCCCCCTAACACACCATTAATTTCGTGCTCTCACGTAAGATTCCTATAATCTTTAGCACTAGAGTGGCTCAATATCAAATAAAAAACCCTACTCTAATTAGCCAAAAACTATAGAGTGGCTCGCTAGCACACCACTTTATCAATCTGCAGCTCAAGTGAAAACAAACAAAAATACAAGGAATTAATGGCTACAATGGACATTTAAGAATCAAGGTAAGGATGTAATTAGTAACATGATTTAGGGACTCACATCCTAGCCTATAAAAAGCATGCCAAAGCCCCCCTAATAATAGATTATTTCTTATTATTTTAAAAAATAAAAAAAATAAAAAAACCAATAAAGGTTAAATGATGTGGGATTACCGTTATGATTAGCATTAGAGTATGCACACAACTCTAAAGAAAAGATGAATAGAAGTAACAAACTCTGAAAAACTGAATCTCGAAAATATCATAAAATATGAAGAACAATTGTCTAATAACTGGTAGTAGGAGAGGTAACAAATTGACTAACAACATGAATGACATATGCAATATCTAGGCTAGTAATAGTGAGATATATCAAGCTCCTAATAATAATACAATACAAAGTAGAATTTGAAAAATGTAAACTATCAAAAGAAGAATATTTTGTATTAACCTCAATAAAAGTATCTACAATCTTATTATTAGTAAGCCTAGCCCATTTAAAAATATCTGCAATATATTTCGACTAAGAAAGAAGATAAACTTTAGGTGAGTAGGCTATCATATGAATTGATGTAGAGGTGGATCTATAATCTTAGGCAGAGTTTGAGGGACTATAGAAGAAAAGTGAGCTTCGGGTGTACCAAAAAGTAAAGTATTAGTACCTGTAAAATGATCAATATGAATTTGTTGAATATGAGAAGAGGTATTTGAAGTACTAAGAACCTGAGATGATAAATTATCATAATTCTTATACAAATAATTTAAGCAACTAAGATCATATGATATTGCATAATAAAGAGAAAAACAAAAATAAAAGAGAATGAGGCTAATGTTTTATTGATATTACATTATCACTATAATCTAAAGGAATGTGTTTAATCTAAATACAAAGATATTATATATAGGTTAAACTGAAAAGAAAATAAAAATACTATTATAACCTTAAAAAATAAAACAAAATAACTTATATTTCTTAATAGGCAGGAACCAACAACTTTAGTTGGTCACCATCTTATTGGAGTTCATTGCAACTTGCAAAAACTCCTAGTTACAATTAGTTCAGATTAACAAAGAGGATTTAGACTTAAAGGGTTATTTTAGTAAACTCAGGATCAAGTGAACTTCTTCCCCTTCGTATGCTTAAACATCTTTTTTCCTTGTTATCCAATATGTTGTTCACATGTATGTTATATAGGTTACATTTGCTGGAGTTATAAAGTCTTTGTTTTTTAGAATTAACCATTATATTAAGAAGTTTGCTTTTTAATTTTTGAGAAGCATGAATGGATATAAGAGGAATTTAGATCAAGTTGGTTTGTTTGAAGTTTGATTTTTTTGGGTTTTTTTGGAAATCTTTTGTAAG